AGATTGGAGTGTTTTACCGCAAGTATAGACGTTGTTCAAGTGCGCCTCGGCCACAAAAGAGATAGGGATAACATTCTCCTCCTTATATATATAATATAATAAGCTGTTGTAGAAAGATGACGAGGTCGGTGAAATGTCACCACTGTATGCCCAGCCTAATCACTTGCCACGACAGATGTTGTTCTAACGCCTTCGGCACGAACAAGTGTGCGTAAGCAGTGCTGGCGTGCGTGATAACTGAACTATCTTAAAGGCGCACAAATGGCATGCTTCCCAGATCTGAGAAATTCGACATGCAGCTCACTCGCAGTTTAAGGATGTTTTTAAAGCTTCACATTATCCATTCATAAGGAAAATAGTATCACTGACACGTTTGCAAAATCCCTGTAATACAAAGGACTGTGCAAGAGCACACGCAATGCATCAGCGGTCGTGCCGATGCCGTGCGGGCTCAAGTACTTGGTGTCAGCCTCAAATCTGCAAGTGCTGAAGTACATATCGCTAGACCTGCTGCCTTTGAGGAACGTGCTGCCAGAATTCATTAAATCACCTGGTGTTTCAGGAAGCTTGCGATTAAGCCTGATTACATAATTTAGCTCAGACAACTAGTGTAATTCTCGCTGCAAATGCTAATTCAATATTTATCGGATTGCAGCAGCCTGGGCCTATTGCTTTAATTGCTCTTCGGTAAAGTAAGAGTGCTGTGCGCGCACAAGGGCGACGAATCGGCCCGAACCAGGAAAGTCCGCGAAAAAGAACAGGATGATAGTGTGTCTCGTCTGGGACTCCTACTTCGGGACTCGAGTGAGCAGAGTCCACCTCAGGCGTAGCATAGGTCGGGACTCGAGTGAGCAGAGTCCCGCCTCAGGCGTATGCACAGGCGAAGGCAGAAATGAATAAATAAAAGAAGGCGATGGGATAATGGCCATGCTCATCTCAGGGTAATGGTTGGAAAATGGTAAGAAGCCGACTCAACATTCCTTGAGGGTTTTCCAAAAGGCAGGCAGTGAATATATACTTGTGCTCGATGGCTACAGGCTCGATAATGAACTCGGTTTTATCTGTTTCAGTGAACGGAAACATCATCAAAGTTTGCGGACTTTTTACGTTTGCATAGCTCAAACAAAACGCCTGATAGGAACTTAAATTTTGTGGATGATGTTCCTCAAGCTGACAGGTAACGAAAGAAGCCCGCTGACGAATGAACGCTGTGTGAATTCAATGTCGGGAAAAAGTGCCCCGTCTACCCAGTTCGACAAAAGGGATTGACCCCCGACTTTGTGAACATTAGTGAGACGTCTAACACGGCTTTACTGTCTGCCACTCAGCATCGTGGCGTAACGATGCTCATTCCCTAAAAGGCGGCCAAAATACGTTAAATCTTGGGCGACCAATTTGCCTTCCTGGATGCCTCATATAAGAAGAGTCCTCACATTACGGCTGAGGCGGCTGCGAGGATCAATGGGCGATTTGGATCAAAATGGATTTATCAAAGGAAACGTAGTGATGGTTTAAGTGTCATACAGGATGCGATTGACTATGGTGACATTGACGACAATTCCCGGTGGACTGTGTTGCTTTGGACTTAAAGGCAGCACTCAATTCTCTTGCATGATTTATATTCGAATACGCCGCGACGCTTCAATTTTGGGGAAGATTTCGTGAAGTGGATTGCCGCTTCTGTACAGTCGTTCAGAACTTGCAATTATCAACGGATACACCTTGCATTGGTTTTCCGCCCCAAAGGGGAATTATGCAAGGCTTTCCTCTCTGGATTGCTTTTCCGCACTGGCGGCTGAAGCATTGTCAATCAAAGTAAGTGCGTCAAATAGCAAAAGAAAAATACACTGTAGAATTGAACGTGTTTCAGCACGCTTTGATATTGCATTTTTTTAAGACGAGAAATCTGTGGAGGCATTGCTTTGTCTCGCGGAGGGCTTTTCTGGGCTTCTAGGACAGTGTAAAGCGATCAAGCCCATTATGGCTGGACCGCTGTCGTTCAGTAGGCAACCAGTGTGTGGGTAACCGGCCTTGGGAGAAAGTTAAGACCTTGGGTGTTTGGCTCTCTGCGAAGAAAACTTGTACAGGAGCTCATCTTAATCCTATTATTCACATTCAACGCAATGTTGAGTTCATGGTCGAAGAGCCGTCTGAGCATCAGGAGTAGAGTAACTGTAGCAAAGAGTTTGATAATACTTAAGCTGAATTACCTCAAGCCATGCTTACCTCAACCAATTCCCGAGTCTGATAATGCAATTTATCTAGTGTGGTCGTCCACCAAAGGCGTTTTCGTCACATTGTACCAGCTTTTTTAGGCAATAGGGCTTAAGAGCAGCTTCAATACACAGTTTAAGCAATGCATTGAGGCTTAGTGAGGCCATTGATCCGCTAAACTTCACGTCTAAGTGTCAGTCAACACTTCAGCACCGCGTTACTCCGCATTCCCGTCAATATATTGTTCACAGCACAGAGCGGGTTTTGCGGGTGGTAAAATAATTTATAAATGTCGGATAAGTGTTTTTTACGCCGATCCATTCCAAAAGTATAGAGATCTGTGCTCTGCAAGGCAGACCGAGGCACGGCGATAAATGCTAGAGAGGAGATGCTGTGGTCTGATGAATGCACTCTGATTGACAACAGGCTGGTACTGCATCGTCGCTGGGAGAGTCACGGTACACGACTCGTTGATGATCTGGTCAAAAGACAGGAAGAATTTCTGACGCAATTCTAATTACGCGTCAATTATCCCGACTGAACGATTGCCATGCTTCGATGCCAAGGACTTACTGGTGTGATTCCCACAAGATGGAAGACTTGCGTGACGGAAGAATTCTTGAATGTATGTCTGTGCCAGTAATGAAGTTGAAGTTAGCGATAAACTAGTGATGCAAGAGCAACCATCAATAGCTTTTTAAAACGAAGGATTTATATCGTTAGGGATCAACGACTCGCGAACCGAATAACTCTAAAAAGGGAAACCGGCGGCGTTGCTCCCGAATCTTGGTCCGAATATCTAGAAATATCTTACTGCTGCAGTGCATCTACTCAGCTCCTGTCGTTCCAATGCCAGATAGGGAACAGATATAACCCCACCAAACGGCTTTTATATAAAAGGCGCATAACAGACTCACAGTAGCGCACACATTGTGGCAAAGATGACACGTTGGTCCAATACCTTTTTAGCTATCAGCTTCTTCATGAATTCTGGTGTTATGTATTCCGGTCCATCAATCGGTTGTGTGACGCCTATCCATGTTTTACTTGACAAACGAGTGCTGTTGTATTTAGTGCGAGAAATGCTCTACATGCGGTAAATATTGTAATCTCCCTGGCCAAGCGACATGTACATGCAGCGGTTGGATGGAAGCTATTTTTCTCTAGATGGTCTCTGACCACAGATCAAGCAATGCTTTGATGCCGAACGATGATTGCTTTTAAAAGCGAGCGTAAGAAGCCGTGATTCGAAGGAAAACGACAGCATGTTTTCTGATAACCTGTTCAGAATATTTTTTAATAGATGCAGGAGGCGACACGCACAGACGGCGCAATCTCCCCGCAGTGGCTTCGCTCCCTGCACGGCCCTACGTAGCACGGCAGTGGCTTCGCTCCCTGCGCGGCCCTACGTAGCAGCCCTGTCTGGCGGCCTTCATGTAGCAGTGTATGTTTATGTGTGATGGCCTTGATGTAGCCGTGTGTGTTCATATGTAGTGGCCTTAATGTAGCAGTGTATGTTCATGCGTAGTGGCTTTAATGTAGCAGTGCATATTCGCGTGTAGTGGTATTGATGCGGTATCGTTTCTAATACCTCTGCGAGTGTCTGTATATTATATCTGTATTGAGGTGTTGAGTGTGCAAAACTAAAAAAACAGCCCTTAAAAACCTTATGACGTAATTTGTTGAACGTGCAGGGCTTTGCTGCCCACCGCGGCGCGTGATTCGGCTGCGAACAGCGGCGCCAATTGAAATCGATTACAGATTTGGATCGCACCTTGAGTTTAGATCGCTTGGGCTCAGATTTGCACAGGCACGCGCTGAGTCTGAACCGGGATCAGCTGTCGTGATTCGCTTGCGTCGTGAGTTAGAGGCTACGGAAGTGGAGTCCAGCGCCAGTTCGCAATGCATGGACAATGGGGATCATTTGTGAATTGGGTGACCGTGGGTCTTAAAAAAACGCGCGCGCGCAACATACCTACACGGCCGGTAGGCCCCAAGGTCGAGAAGGCAAAGCCACGACGAAAACACGGAACGAACTATTTCGTCGTTTTTTAGCGATCCATGATATTTCCCGGATCGTATGACGACCAAGTAGCTCCCGACCTGCCAACTGAATATCGCTTCCGAAACATAGCCAGGCTCCGGCGCCAGCCGTGCCAGACATCTCCACCAGCAGACCAAGCCAGCTCCGCACTGGTGCAGCGCTGTTCACTGCGCCGCACTCGCCGCCGGACAGCACGGCCCTGCCAGAGGCCCAGCGCACTCCTGGGCGAAGTCACTACCGTCCATAACCGCGACCAGAACGGCGCACGCCGGCTCCGTTCATGGCGCGGCTGCGGCGGTTACGCCGCATCGACACGACGGGGCGCGACCATAAAAACGAACGTCGCTCCTTTCGCGCCGTTCCCCGACGGCGATGAGCCGTAAAGCGCGAAAATAATACTTGCTGCACGGTCGACAAAATTGGCACCGGCTCGTTCCGAGCGCCGATTCGGGGAAAGAATCCCCGACGACGAGGATAAAATCCCACGGCGCAGGATCAGCCATCGTGAGAAACGGCCGCCGGCCGTGATAACATGCAGGCGTGGCGAGGAGTGGTGTATGGGAGACGCCGTCAGGGGTCGCACTGCCTGCGTGACGTGCCGCCTCGCGATGCAGGATACGGAACTCTCTTGGACTCACTGCATCGTGCGGTTGTCTGATAATCGGGCTTTTGGGACTGTTTGTGACGACTAATAAAAACTACCTTCATCAAAAGTGAAAAATTTTCGTGGTTGTCATAGCAACTGTAAACGACCGGTTACACGATGTGCGGAAGCCGTGTCTGTAAACATCGCACCCTGTAACAAGTTGAACCATCCTGGCGATAGATAGTCATTTCACTCGACATCAGCAAGGACGACATCTCCACCCACCTGTGTCCACGATGACGTCGATGATGTCCATGGACTTGGCGAAGGCGTCGCGCAGGTTGACGTCATGAAAGCTGACGATGCTGCCCTCGCGCTTGGCGCGTTCGAGGGCCTCGCGACGCTTCATTGCCTTCTCGCGGCGCATTTGGTTCTTGTAGAACTCGGCGAAGTTGTTGACGATGATGGGGATGGGCAGTGCAATGACCAGCACGCCGCAGATGGCGCACACGGCGCCGATCATCTTGCCCAGCGCGGTGTGCGGGTGCATGTCGCCGTACCCGACCGTGGTCATCGTGATGATGGCCCACCAGAATGTCTCCGGAATGCTCGTGTACGCAGTGTTCTTTGCCTCCTTCTCCGCGAAGTAGCACAGGCTCGAGAATATCAAAACGGTGATGGCCCAGGAACATGAGCAGGAGTCCGAGCTCCCTTGTAGGAGTTGCGCAGGGTGAAGCCCAGGCTCTGTAGGCCGGTGGAATGGCGCGCTAGCTTGAGGATTCGCAGTATCCTCATGATGCGGAAATTTGTACGACCCGGCGAACGTCTTCAAACTGCGACTCTTTCTTGTTAGACTCGAGGAGAAAGAGAGACACGTAGAACGGCATGATAGCCAACAAGTCTATGATGTTCATGGCACCCTTGAAGAACTGCCACTTGTTCGGAGAGGCGGCAAAGCGCAATAGATACTCAAGCGTGAACCACGTAATGCACACGATCTCCACCTGTGCGAGGTACTGATTATCGCCACCCTCCTTGTTTTGCAGCGTCGGCAAAGTGTTCAACACTAGCGCTGTGGTTGAGAGAACGATGAAAAGTATGGATATAATGGCCAGTATCTGGAAAAGACCAGGAAGTCTCGGTCACGGCGCTGGATCGCGGCGGCGGCCAGTGTAACTCAGGACGACTGCAACCAAAAAGGCAGGCAGTGAAGACCGCGCACGGGGAGGCGCACTGTTCGGCGCGTGGCGGCCCACCGGGCTCCTACGACCGGAGGGTCCGCAAACCGAGCGCAACACACCGATAACCGAACAGAACGGAACAACAGAGGTGCAGCCACACTGCCAGCGGCCACAAAGAACAGGGACAGCGAACAGCGAAGGCGTTGCGCGCGGCGGCGGCGGCTGGCGGCGGCGGCGGCCGGCGCGGCGGCGGCGGCGGGGGTCGGCGGCGCTCGGTCGGGAGCGTTTGAGGCGCGGTCGGGAGGCGCCCGTCTCGGCCCGAGAGCGTGTGCCGCCGGCGGGGCGCCGTCACAAGCACCGCCGGCGGCCGGTGGCGGCGTCCCGCCGGCCGCCAGCGGCGCGCTGGTTGCGTCGCCCACTGCCCACTCCTCAGCATCGTTCCATCTAGCCGAGCATGCGGCCGCCAACCTGCCACTAGCGAACAGACACTAAGGACGTTAGTACACACAGGCAGGCGACAGCGCGAGCGGGGGCGCCCGGCCAGCTACAACCCAGTGACTGCGGAGCCCCGCCACCTCTCCCTGCTCCCCGGCGCTGGGAACCCGGATGTCAGGGGTCGGGTGCGTGCCGGCTGTGATAAATGAGCCGTTCTAACGGGGATTTTACGGTTGGTGTTCAGTTTCGGAGAGCTGTCACGTGGTGGAGAGAGTGACGCCTGTGCGTGACCAATGTGAACGATGTGGGACCACGCGGAATCCACCCCCCGGAGATGCCTTTTCCCTTCTCGGTCCGTGGTCTATCTAAACATAACAACCATGCACTGGCCGGGCGTGACATTTGAACGGTCTGCATACCACCACATCGACATCCAGGCAGTGCCGGTGACGTATGTCCCCCCCCCCCCCACAAATAACACGGAGTCCAACGACATTAACTAAAAGCCGATTGCCGAGCCCAACCGGTGTCCCTGGGAGTGCAGAGGTCGAGAGGACTGGAGGCGTGACAACCCCACTAAACAAACAGACCCCGGCCGGCGGTACCGGTGACCCTGGGAGTGCAGAGGTCGAGGGGACTGGAGGCGTGACAACCCCACTAAACAAACAGACCCCGGCCGGCGGTACCGGTGACCCTGGGAGTGCAGAGGTCGGGGGGACTGGAGGCGTGACAATCCCACTAAACAAACAGACCCCGGCCGGCAGTACCGGTGCCCCTGGGAGTGCAGAGGTCGGGGGGACTGGAGGCGTGACAATCCCACTAAACAAACAGACCCCGGCCGCCGGTGTTGCCCTAGTGTCTATCTCTTTAAGATGGCCCGTGCTTGGACTGTTTGGCACGGAGCGTGGTGATGGAAAGGCCAAGAAGGATTGCTGTCTGAATATCGATTTACGTTGCGGGGATCTGAAGCGAGCCACTATCGCCGTGGCACGCGGAGGTGAAAATGAATCTCGACTTCATGGGGACTGACGGAGCTCTAGCCACCTCTCTGCCGCGGTTGCGCCCAGTCCAGGCTGTTATTGCATGGCCGCGGGTAAAGCGCGTTGGGGGTGAGAAAAACAGATTTAGTGGCGTTATTTTGAAAGCAATGTGGAGGGGGAGAGTTAAACTAAACTGCGTATGGACGATCTCCTAGCTCATGACTCGCTGGCACCCGAGTCATGTCATACCATGATCAATCTTGTCACATAAACCAGCATGGGCCACGTAAGGTGCGTTTGTGCAGGGCCAGTCAAGCGCGTCAGCCGAGCCGTCGAACCTCATGGCGCCCGCCAGCACTTCCTAACATGAGCCGCCAAGCGTCCGAGCCCCACATCCACACCCCGTTCCGAAGCAACAACAGCCTGAACAAAGCGTGGCCGCAGCGAAGCCTCCGGCCCGGCCGCTCCTGTACACAGAGCCGCCCCGATCAGCCCGCAGCCAAGCGCCGCTCAGCGACGGCAGCGGCCACACTCACCCGGGCACCCAGCGATGTGGTCGGCTTCTCCATCAGGTCCCAGAGGAACTTCTGGTACTGCGCGCAGCGGCCCGACCCGAACTCCTCCTCGTCGCTCGTCTTGAGCGAGTCCGCCTCCTTGCGCATCTCCTCGTGTACGTGCTCGCGCCGCTGGTGGTACTTGTGCTGGCAGCAGACTCGAGGTACAGCTCGTCGATGCCCCAGTACTCGAGGTCCTCACCGAAAGCCATCACGCACATCTCCTCCACAGGTGCAGCTTGCCCGTGCGGTAGAAGTTGAGGATGCTGCTGAAGGAGCGCGGGTGCCGGTCGAAGAAGTACTCGTTGTCCCACCAGCGAGTACTCGTCGCAGATCTCCATAATGGCGTCATGCGTGTTGCACTCCTTGAGCCGGCCGAGGCGGGTGTGAGGCAGCCGCTCCAGTGTCGACCAGAGCACCTCATGCCGCATGCCGCCCACGTTGATGATGACGCGCGTGTTGAGCGCCTTGCTACGCATGATGGTGAATGCCTCGGGCGGCAGCGAGCTCATGGAGCGCGACTGCTGGCGCAGGGCCACCGAACTGGGGAACGCCTCGCCGGCCTCGCTGGCCGCCCCGCTCGCGCGCGCCGTTGCGCTGGAGCGAGCCATCGGGTCGGTCCCCCGCCGCCGGCCGCGTCCCCGCCCGCCGACTTGCTCATGCCCGGCTTCTGGGAGGCCGAGTCAGCGCCTTTCTGTGACAGAGGTCTGGGATCAGCGCTTAGTTGCGATCAGAGGTCGGATATCAGCGTCTCTTTAAAAAATACCAAGCAATGGTCAGCACGATGAGGTCAAATGTCAGCGGTTTTCTGTGTGCGGAGGATCAGAATCAACACCCGCCGTGACCAGCGATGAGGGCTGGTCTCTATGTGGACAGAGGCCAGGAAATAGATCGAACGTGACTGAGCGGACAACCCGCCACAATTTGGGTCGTGATCCATTTGGAGGAGTGCCCCATCAGTGCCGCCACAGCTGGTCCATTGAAGGAGTGCGAGATTGCTCCACAGCGCATTTTCCCTGGCGTCAGTTCGTGCCAGCGGTTCGCGGCGACGATAACCACGCCATGGCGTGCGCCGATCAGAAACAAAACGTTTACAAACTTGGCCCTCTACATAAATGATGCTTTGATTGCATCCATCTTTGAAGATCTTATCGTAATCCTGCATTAACAACTGCTGCTTTGTCTCAAAGTACAGTAACGATTGAGAGAAATTGTCCTGCAACACTCCATCTACATGCGAAACCAATTATGTAGTATGACGCAAAAACTGGGGTCTGCTGCTGTTATGTACCACAACAAAGCCTCTAGCATGTATGCGACTACCAGGAAAATACGCTCTCCAGACAATGGAAAAGAGGATACACGTATTTCATTCGACGGTAGGTCAATGCAACTTGAAATGTATATTTAAAGGCAGATAAAGTGCTAACCTGCAGACACGGATTTATGAAGGGACATGCCCGAGACATGATAAACTGTTCTCAACTAGCTTTATCACTGTTTTAAAATACTAGTAGCGATTTTTCCAATTCAGCTACGGTTGAGTCCAAGCATTTTGTATCATATTTAACTGGTGGACATCTACTGTATAAATGTACCAGCTATATGTTCCCACAAACCAAACGTATCCGTAATTTCGACCTATCATTTAGCCCCTCTTTATATATGTGGAAATAACATTTCCTCCTCTGAATCACCTACACTTGCCAGGTCATACCATCTTCCACCCATCGAGCATTTCAAAGTGCTTGAAAGTAGAAGTGTTTTGAAGGCATCCTTATAATCATGCAAGCGGTCAATATTGGCGCCAATGAAGCCCATGTAAACAATGAAAAAATCTGCACTTTGCTGCGGCCCTCAGCCACAGAATCAGTTGACCCGACCGCTTAATGATCGCACATGTATACCAATGGCTTCAAAATTAATGCCCGGTTGCTTTAATTCTGTGTTTTGCTTAAATCAGCGCACAAGATCTGAGCCAATGAGCGAAATGGAAGACTATCAATAGACGGTTTCTCGTCCGGTAATAATTTACGTACTACTCCAATACTAAAATGTGACAAAGCTTAAACGTTCCTGAAAAACGTCTATTACTCATAGCGTAGTGCAAGTGTATCAAAACCTAGAGCCCACGCTGGCATCCTTGACTGAACAGGGAGGCTTCCAACATACTCGAAAGAGCCCGCCGGGTGGAGCTGTCTGTGGAGATCCATGTCGTCTACACTTCAGGGGCCACTTGTGCAGTCGTGACCACCTGCCGTCCTAGCGGGCCCCGCGGCCGCACCGCGCACCCCGCGCTCCTGCGCAGTCGCGTCCGACACCTCTCTGCGCGCTGCTGCCGCGTCCCGCTCGGCCGGGCGAGCGCGCTCCACCACACGGCCGTACCCGCCGCCTCCGCACGTGCACTGTCGCCGCGCGGCGCGCGACGGGCCTGCCGCCGACCCGGCTCGGCTCGGCTCGGCTCGGTCCGGCCTTGGCGCCGGCTCGTCCTCCGCGCGGGGTCGCCGCGGTGATGGCTGTCGCAGGTCAGCGGGCGACGACACTGCTCGCCTGGAGGCCCGCGCGACGGCGCTCTCGGAGGCGCTCCACTGACGCGAAGCGGGCCGACGGTGCGCGCGTCGGCCACGAGTCGGAAGGAACTGCTGGTCGGCGACGGCCCGGCCGGCCCGGCACCGGCCCCGCGCCGTCACTGCCACGGAAACGGCCGACAACAATGCACGTGCATGCACGCGCCACGCTGGCGGCCGGATCGATGGCCGGCTGTCACATGACGGCTGGAGGACGGTCGAACCCGCGTGACAGATGGGCGAGCGGGCGGGGACACCACCCGGCGCACGGCCTAATGGGGACGAACGTGACGCGCTCAATGGAGGCGGACGCGATGTGACTGAAGGGTGAATGGAGACGGACGCGGCGCGATGGAAGGGTGCATGGACGCCAGCAACGCACAATAGGCGGACGGATAAACACGTGGACACACTCGAGTAGGACGCATGGACGGACGACTACGGCAAGATGGGGCAGGCAGACAGATAGCTATATCTTTCCTTTTTCACTTAGCCGTTTTGTCAGTGCACGAAACTGACATCGATTGGTCTAGCACATGGTCTGACATTTTTCAGAATGGCGTTGAACGAAACCCATAGTAAACATGACGGAAACCAGATCCCGATTGTTTGCCTCGCAAAAGCCTCGCCACCGAAACAAACCGAAGTATTGGATCGTATTCCTCGTGAACTATTCGATCATTTGTCTTGTGAACTTTTGAATGTCTTGTCTGATGAGCTGCTTGATAATTTCCCCAGTCATTGGCTGGGTAGCACAGAGAGCACCGTGGCATTCCACGCAGCGCCGTGACCTGCCCATGCTAGGTCGCCAGGCGTCTTTTCCATATCGAGGAAATGTGCTCACCTTTGGAGGAGACGATCCGACTGGCATTGCTATTTGCCGGTGGCTGGGTGTTCTTTTGCGTGTGCGTGCTTTGTACTTTGTACGTCATTTGACAAAAGGTCGTTGACAAGGCGTGACGCCTTTTTGAAAAGACGCGGTGTAGTGACATGGACCGCAGAATTGATGGCAATCAATGCATGCAGTTTGATGCACGACTTTTCAAGTGAGCCGCGAAAAACATCGGAACGAAATGAACATATGTACGACCCGAGGAGAGAGAAAAAGACACTGACGCGTGATATTGGTTCGGGCCTTCCCTGTATAAGCTTGTCAATTTGAATAATGCACTGATGAAAACCCGGGGTGGGTGGAGCGTATCTATATATAACCAATTAATCGTTATTTGCATGATAGCCTGATTGGTGCAGGAGGATAAGGATCACATGCGGAGGACTCCAAAAGCCCCTGATATATTGAGGTTTAGAAGTCGTCGGTAGCAGACCGTCGTTCGCCAATAAACATGCCTCGTTTCCATGGTCGAAAGGTTCTGAGCCCACGGAACTTGGAAACCATCGCCGGACTTAAACAAGCCGCTAGTTGTGTATGAAAACGCCTTTGATGCTGCCGTCCGCGCGCCATTTGTTCATGGGGCTGTCGGATGTCCAGTTTGTTATCACATGCCGCTCAGTGTGCCATCAATCGTCAGTAGTCGCTTAACAGGACAACCATCAGCATCATATACACCTACCGCATGCGAACGGAACGCCGATGGGTCACTTGCTTAGCTCAAATCCTAACCACCTAAAAGCCCACATGATCTGATGAAATTCAAAGGCCTTTATCCCAACGACAGGTGCACATTTCGTGGCCTATTACAAGCGTAACTTGTGAAGAGCTTTGACACTGATGACTTGAAACAGACATTTGAACGAATCTGTAACCACATGTAGCAGCACCAATTACAAACAATTGCTTGCGTGGCGTTCCTTTGCTTCGGAATCCTTATTCACGCACACACACACACACACACACACACATGCACACGCTAACGCACATGCACGCGCACACACATGTGCTCGTGTACATATATATATATATATATATATATATATATATATATATATACTCAATCATTCGAGCTCAAACATTTTAACTCCCGATAAACGACACTATGCTTAGGCTACCCAAGGTATATGCGACTAAGCCGGAAGGCTACGACAACCGATACCGAGCAAAATTTTAGGAACTCAGGCACCACGACTGTGAGATATCGAGTATTGCACGAACATCCCGTTGATTCAGTCTCTCGTGTCCTAACTCTCAATGCAATACACGGTCCTGCGCTAAGGGCTGTCCAAATCACAGCCGGCTAAGCCGAAAGGTTAGGTTGACTTTTATCTCATTTATGGTCAGAAAAACCATACCAGCCGCCATCAGTGCTTATCACGAGAAGAAAAATATTTATAAACCTGCAAAACTTGAACACTGTTGCTTAAACCAGATCTCGAAAGTATGTCCCGGCAACTGAAGTTCGATTTTTGTCCACACAAGAGCTTCAAACTAATGATGCCAAAAAAGCAGGAGGTCTTGTTTGTTTTATAAAGGATCAAAAACTAATTTGATGTTCGAAAGCAAAAGAGACGGACAGAAGCTAGACTAAAAACGGGCTGTGCTTTTAAATAACATGAAGTTTAATGCCTCAGGTTCGCTATCTTCTCTTTGTCTTCGAATTAGTCCAAGTCCACTATCTTCAAATTGTCTACGGACCAACTTCACTAAGTGGTGTGTCTCAAATCTCTTGCGTCGCCCCCAAAACCAACGCCTTTACACGCATATAGAACGATGTTAGGCTTAAGGTGTATGTTGAAAACAACATTTTTAAATTTCCAGTGACAATTTGACTCAGCGAAACCTGGTGCCAGCGGTATTTTGGTGTAGTGTAAGTGTTGGTTTAATCCATGCAACTTGTTTGTTGCAAGGTATCATAGAAATTACCTGAATATATGTTTTTCAGCATTACTTGTTCCAATTTACCGAATATTTAACTGTTTTTATGCCGACAAAATTGATAATACGAACAATGCTCACATTTAAAGCATGTTGTTTACG